TCACGGCCAAACAAAATTTATTATAATCCTAAACTAACCCCTAAACAAGTCTAGTGGTAAGTTCGGAGTCGAACCACAAGGAACGGTAATGCTAGATTGTTCTTAATCTAATGCCTAAGCTATGCCGAAGTCGATTTACGGATAAAGGACACTACAACTACACTAAAATACATATAAAGAACAAGGTATGATAAAGTCTACTAGGGGAAAAGATCCACTTAGAACAATTAATAAGCTAATGAGAATCCATTTGATAATCAATCATGCAAAGAAAGAATTATAATGAGAATTAACTACACTCAAAAGTAATCTCTCAAATTCCTAGCCTAGATCCCTCATTGACTAGGTGCATAGAAGAAAATTACCCAAAATGCAATCAAATATTTCAATTCTAATTCACAATCCCTTGTCAAACTAAAACCAATATGCAATTACGTGTGCTATCATTGGAGATCAATCCAATCTAAAACAAACAACATGCCAACATCAATTCAATCAATTTAATCACACAATTATCATCAAATTTATCTCAAATAACTCAAATAATCATTACAAAGCCTCACTCAACACCTAGTAGAAGGGAAACTACTCAAGCATAATGAAAGCAACTAAATAAAGCAATAAGAGAAGAGAAAGTAAGAAATGCTCATTGATATAAGGTGGAGATCTTCAAATTCCTCATTTGATTATCCAAAATCCATGAAAACCATTGTGCTCCTCACTTTCTCTCTCTAAAATTTTGAGAGTTTCTCTCTCTAAAACCTAAAACTAACTTAAAATCTATTCTAAACTGAAAAAATCTTTTTTTCTTTAATGAGCAAAAAAAACTATTTATACCCCTTACAAAATTGCTTAGGAAGCTCCGCAAAAAGTCAGCTGAAACTGAAAAAGGTCCGACCGAACTCTGGGTAGGTTCGGTCGGACTCAGGGTAGGTTCGGCCGAACTCAGGGTAGGTTCGGTCGAACCTCCCTGATCCTTGTTTGGTCGAACTTTCCTGGTTCGACCCCTCCTGTAAACATGCTGAAAACTTGGTTGAAACTGCCTTGGAGGTTCGGTCGAACTTTTCAAAAGTTTGACCACACCTTGGTTCGACCGAACCTCTTAGAGGTTCGGCCACACCTCCTCTTGAACTTCCTCTTCTTGCTTCCTCTTCTTCCCTTTTGCTCCTCTTGTCTTTGTCCATGCCTCCATACTTGGCCAAGGGGCCTCCTACCGTGCTTAGGACCGTCATGGAACCTGCAAAAGATAGCAAAGATCACGAGAGCATGGGGATGATAAAATTATGCATAAAGATTATCAAAACAAGCGCAAATAAGCATACTTTTCATCCATAAAAGAAAAGGAAGCCATAAGAGGAGAAAAGAGGTAGAAAACCTAAGAAAAACAGGAGAAAAGAGACCAATACACTACCCCTAAGGGTAACATAAATGTCACTCATCAGTTATGCCTCTTCTGAGTACAAAGGAGCGGGCGTGCACTCCTTAAGTAGCTCCCGCTCCTAAGCTTGCTGGAAGGTTCTGCCTTGATTGCTGCAAGTAGGAGCGGGCGTGCAGGGTGTTAGGAGCGCCCGCTCCTAAGGTTGCTGGGAGATTCTGCTTTGTGTTGCTGGTAGTAGGAGCGGGCGTGCATTTGAGTAGGAGCGCTCGCTCCTATCTTGAATTTTCAAATCTACCTTTTTCTGCTATCCTTTTGCAAATTACCTAAAACAAAAACAAAACACTAAACAAACATTCAAAATGTTAAGTGTTAGTTTAAGCTCTTTCATCTCTCCTTTTTTTTTCTTTTTTTTTGAGTAAAAGCAAAAATACTCGGGTTGCCTCCCGGGAGCGCTTCTTTAACGTCACTAGCTTGACGACCTTCCGATCACATTAACCGGAGCCATTGAATTCTTTCACCTTGATGGAGTGAACCACACCTTTCTTGTCACCCTCATAATAAATCTTGAGGCGTTGACCATTCACTTTGAATGCTCCAGTGCTCTCACTCCAAACTTCAATTGAGCCATAGGGAAATACCTTTACCACTTGAAAAGGGCCACTCCACCTTGATTTAAGCTTTCCGGGAAAAAAGCTTTAACCTTGAGTTGTAGAGAAGAACCTTATCACCTTCCTTGAAGTCCCTCTTGATGATGTATTTGTCATGAAACTGCTTAGACTTTGCCTTGTAAGAGCGTGCGTTATCGTATGCATTCATTCTCAATTCCTCTAATTCATGCAAGTTTAGAGTTCTCTTATCTCCGGCACTTTTGAGGTCAAAATTCAAGGTTTTGATTGCCCATTGAGCCTTGTGCTCCAATTCTACGGGCAAATGGCAAGACTTCCCATAGACCAACTTGTAAGAAGTGGTCCCAATGGGAGTCTTAAAAGCCGTACAGTATTCCCATAAGGCATCATCAAGCTTTGCCGCCCAATCCTTCTTACTTCTATCCACGGTCTTCTCAAGAATGAGCTTGATTTCTCTATTTGAAACCTCCGTTTGGCCACTTGTCTGAGGATGATAGGACAAACCCACATTATGGTGAACTCCGTACTTAGCCAATAAAGCCTTGAATGTTCGATGAGCAAAATGAGACCCTCCATCACTTATCACAGCCCGTGGAACGCCAAATCTTGGGAATATGATCTTTTTAAACATCTTCATCACCACCTTGGAGTCATTCTTTGGTGATGCAAGAGCTTCCACCCATTTGGACACATAGTCCACCGCTACTAAAATGTAGAGATTACCGTAAGATGAAGGAAAGGGACCCATGAAGTCGATCCCCCAAACATCAAACACCTCCAATTCCAAGATCGGATTTTGAGGCATCTCATTTCTTTTTGATATGTTCCCGATTCTTTGGCATTTGTCACAAGTCTTCACAAAGACCCATGCATCCTTGAAGAGAGTAGGCCAAAATAACAAACATTGCAACACTTTTTCCGTCGTTTTGTTTGCTCCCATACGACCACCACATTGTGATGAGTGGCACATATGAAGCACACTTTGAATTTCATCGTCGGGAACACATCTTCTCAAAAGATCATCTACCCCTATCTTGTACAAAATAGGATCATCCCATATGTACCTTTTTGACTCATGCTTCAACTTTCTTCTTTGTTGAGGGGTGAACTCCGGTGGAATCGCCTCACAAGACAAGTAGTTCACTATATCGGCATACCAAGGCAATGACTTTGCTTGGATAGCATACAAAACATCATCTTTGAGCTCATCATTGATTGGAAGTTGATCAACATCTTCATCTCGGAATTCCAACCTTGACAAATGATCCGCTACCGAATTTTCCGTCCCCTTTTTGTCTTTCACTTCTATATCAAAATCTTGCAAAGCAAGTACCCATCTCATCAACCTAGGCTTTGAATGCTTCTTGGACATGAGATATTTGATTGCTGAATGGTCGGTGTAGACAACGGAACTTGTCAAAAGCGTAGATTACCGCAAGAAGCTCTTTTTCGGTCGTGGTGTAGTTCTTTTGTGCATCATTCAATGTCTTGCTTGCATAGTGGATCACGTGCACCCTTTTTTCTTTCTTTTGCCCCAACACGGCACCAACCGCCGTGTCACTTGCATCACACATTAATTCAAAGGGGAGGCTCCAATCCGGAGCTTGCACTATTGGTGCCGAGATCAATGCATTCTTCAACCTACAAAATGCATCTAGACAAGCATTATCAAATACAAAATCACACTCCTTTTGAAGAAGTGTAGTAATAGGTTGGCTATTTTAGAGAAGTCCTTGATGAAACGCCGATAGAAACCGGCATGTCCCAAGAAAGATCTCACCCCTTTCACATTAGTAGGGGGTGGGAGCTTCTCTATTACATCCACCTTAGCCCTATCAACCTCAATCCCCTCATGAGAGATCTTATGGACAAGAACAATGCCTTCTTGAACCATAAAATGACATTTCTCCCAATTGAGGACAAGGTTGACCTCTTCACACTTTTTCAAACATCGCGTGAGATTAATTAAACAATCATCAAAAGAACTTCCCCCAACCGAGAAGTCATCCATAAAAACTTCCATTTCTTTCTCAATCATATCCGCAAAAATTTCCATCATACATCTTTGAAAGGTAGCGGGGGATTGCATAAGCCAAATGGCATCCTACGGTAAGCATAGGTGCCATATGGACAAGTGAATGTTGTTTTCTCTTGGTCATCCGGGTGAATTGGGATTTGAAAGAACCCGGAATAACCATCAAGATAACAAAAATACTTGTGAGCCGCTAGCCTTTCCAACATTTGATCAATAAAAGGCAATGGGAAGTGGTCTTTCTTGGTGGATGTGTTTAGCCTACGATAGTCTATACACATCCTCCAACCGGTAATAGTTCTAGTAGGGATGAGTTCACTTTTTCATTTTTTATAACCGTCATCCCCCCTTTTTAGGGACTACTTGCACCGGTGCCACCCACCTACTATTAGAAATAGGATAAATGATACTGGCGGCAAGTAGTTTAAGAACTTCCTTATTGACCACTTCAAGCATTGGAGGATTAAGCTTTCTTTGTCTTTCAATTGATGGTTTAGCATCATCCTCCAATGAAATTCGATGCATGCAAAGCGTTGGGCTTATACCTTTCAAATCATCCATTTTATATCCCAAAGCTTTGCGATGCATCCTTAATATATTCAATAATTTTGAGGTTTGATCCTCATCCAACGAAGCATTAACAATAACCGGAAAAGTAGAAGATGGACCAAGAAAATCATATCTCAAGTTGGATGGTAGAGGTTTTAGCTCTACACTTGGGCCTTCCTTACCATTGTCGTTCATGAGTTGTTTCTTCACTTCTTCTTTTCCAATTACTAGGTTTGCTTCTTCCTTGTCCATGGGGGTGGAGTCAAGAATCTCCTCAATTGGCTCCATCTCCATGTCTTCATTGCAAGACCTATCTTTGCTTTCAAGTTCATACTCAAGAGAATAATTAGAGTTACGCAAATGCAATTGTATGGATTCATTAATAACATTCTCAACAATATCAATACTCATACAATCATTCCATGTTGGAAGGACATTTCATAACTTGGTTCAATTTGAATTCCACTTTCTCTTTTCCAACAAGCAAAGACAATTTACCACGTTTCACATCAATAATGGCCCCCGCCGTGGCTAAGAAAGGCCTACCTAGAATTATGGGGACATTCAAGTCCTCATCCATATTAAGCACAATAAAATCCACCGGAATGTAAAGTTTGCCCACCCTAAGGGGGACATCCTCTAATTTTCCCAAAGGCATCTTAACCGAACGATCGGCTAATTGAAGGGAAATGTTGGTGGGCTTTAACTCTCCTAGGCCAAGTCTTTTGCACATAGAAAGGGGAATCAAGCTTATGCTAGCACCAAGATCACATAAAGCACGATCAATTACCATTTCACCAATAGCACATGGAATAGAAAAACTACTGGGATCTTTAAGCTTAGTGGGCAACTTATTTTGAATAATTGCACTACAATTTTCCGGCATATTAATGGTTTCCACAAAGTCAACTTCTCTTTTATTACTCAAAATGTCTTTAAGAAATTTAGCATAAGTTGGCATTTGTTTTATAGCATCGGTAAATGGAATGTTCACATAAAGCTTCCTCAAGACTTCCAAAAACTTAGCAAATTGTTCATCAAGTCTAGACCCGACAAACCTTCCCGGAAAAGGAAGCTTTGCCACATGTTGTGGGATTTCACTCTTTTTTTTTTCTTTTTCAACTTCTTTCTTTTTGTTTTTCTCATCTTCTTCTTCTACTCTCAACTCTCCATGGGAATCACTCATTTCAATCACTCTTTCTTTTGACTTCTCACCTTCTAAGTCATGTTGCATTCCCTTCCCTTGTACTCCCCCAAGCTTTTCCCATTTCTAGTCACAATGGCATTGGCTTTCTCTCTAGGATCTAGACCTTGACTAGGAAATGAGGTACTAGACTTGCCTTTAAGGGCACTAGCTATTTGGGCCATTTGATTTTCCAACATTTTATTATGGGTTTGCATTTGCTTTAGGCTTTCCTCTAAGTCATTTGTCTTTTTAGTTTGGGTGTTGATGAATTGTTCCATCATTCTTTCTAAATTAGACTTAGGAGGAGGAGGGGCTTGAATTTGAAGTGGTGGTTTAGGAATAGGAGCTAGATTTGGTCTTACACCTCCATTGAAACCAGGTGGGTTGTGAGTTGAAGAGTATTGACCTTTTTGTTGGTACCTATTATCATTTCTATAATTCCGTTGATTATTAGACACATAGTTACCACCACTACTAGCTTGACCTTGACCTCTAGCTTGCCCTTGGGTTTGACCACTTCTCCAACCAAAATTGGGGTGATGTTTCCATCCCTCATTATAGGTGTTGGAGTAGGGGTCAAACCTAGGATTAGCATTCACATTATTAACTTGTTCCATAGAAGGGGAACATTGCTCATTCAACAAGGGACACTCCGAAGACATATGGTCTTCACCACCACATACTTCACAAGACACCAATTGCATAGACACATTATCATTTGAAGAGTTAGATGCATGTGAGTTTTGGAGAAGGGAAATGGGAGGGGGAGAAGATTACATTTGATCAAATTTAGAGGACAAGGCATCTAATTTTGAGCTAAGCATATTAATAGCACTAACCTCATACCTTCCTCCTTTTTTTGTGGAGTTCCTTTCATCATGACTCCAATCGGTGTAATTTTGCACCACCTCTTCGATGATTTTGAGTGCTTCCAATGGTGGCTTGTTCATGAGAGGAACACCCGATGCTTCATCCAATAGTATGCGATCCTCCCTCAAGAGACCCCTATAGAACCCATGTAATAGGAGCCAATCTTCCATGCCATGATGTGGGCATTGTTTTTGGTAGCTCTTGTATCTCTCCCAAGCATCATAGAGAGACTCATCAGGTTCTTGTTGGAAATTTGATATTTTGGATCTCAACTCCGCCGTTCTTCCAAGAGGTATGAACCTCCCAAGAAATGCCGAAGTTACCTCATTCCAAGTTGTCAATGAGTTCGGAGTTAACCTATCAAGCCAATCACTTGCACTCCCCGTGAGAGAAAATTTAAACATACTTAGATGGATGTACTCCGGAGTCACCCCATTAGCCTTCACGGTGCTGCAATACCGCGTAAATTGCTTAAGATGTGCAATGGGATCCTCATGCTTGGCCCCGGAAAATTGATGGCCCTCGATCAAGGTGATAAGGGCGGGCCTTATCTCAAAATTGTTTGCCTCGGTGGTGGGAGTAACAATCCCACTCGCTTCTTGGTATGGTGGAGGGACACCAAACTCTCTCAAAGCTTTATTCGGTTGGGCCATGTCAAATTGGCGGATAGGTGGAGAAGTTGGAGAATTTGTCCTTGGTGATTCTAATGGAATGGTGTCTCCACTAGACTCACTAGAACTAGAGTGATCGGAATCCACTACCACTCGTAGCTCACTTGATGTAGCACCACTAGATATCGCCCTCTTTTCTCTTCGATTTGCCCTTACCACTTTTTCAAGCTCAAGATTCAACGGCACAAGAGGAAGTGTCCTATTGCTGCGTTTGGGCATAAAAAAAGAAGACTAGATGGGAGATTAGTAGGTTAGTCAAAGAAAATAAAGAAAAATAAAGCTTTACAAATGAACTAGTCTCACATATCTCATAAGTAACTCAATGCTTAACGCCAGTCCCCGGCAATGGTGCCATTTTGGCAGAGGAAATAATCGGTCGTTGGACAATCACCCTCAAGCCAAACAATAATTCTACCTAAACCAACCTAAGACAAGTCTAGGGTAAGTAGAGGATCGTATCCACAGGGAATGGGTAAGTACATCGAGAGTATGAAACGGTTGCAATCTAGTTCGGTCACAAATTGGGGGTTTTGATTAGGTAACTACTATGGAGACAAACACTAGGGGGAAATAGTGATCGACTCCAACCAAACCAATGGATCAAAACAATTGGAAAGCATGAACACAAATTGGGTGATAGAGAGGGCACTCAACATTGCCTTCTTTCGAAGCCACAACACTAAGCATTCCTAAACCAAACTCAACTAACAAGATAGGCCAACCAAGTTTTAACGATGAGAAGTAGACTACTAATAACTCGGGTTTGTCTTTCGATCGGTCCAAGAAAGCAATAAGGCACAAGCAATTGAGATTTCTCACCTAATTGTTGCAACTAATACTACTACATCATTCAAACAAGGAATCATAATCGAGAGGAATTTAGCATAATCATATAAGAGAAGGCTCACAACTAGACTCCATCTCTCAATGTAAGCATAGAAGTGAATACATGAGCAATAAGTGGCCATCCAATTACACATGCAATTAACCAATTCTTTAACAATCAATCATCAACCCAAAATGAACATGCAAGCACATACATCAATCAACCCATGGCTTGGTTGGGTCTTCACCCAACCCCTAGCTAATTAACTACTCACTAAACATGGTGAAGGACATCAAAATAACAAGTTCCAATTCAAGCATTAAATTAACAAGTTGAGAGGAGTAGTAGGAATAAGGTATATTGGACATGCAACAACAATTAAGCAAGATTAAGAGAGGAATTAATAATTCAAAGTAAATAAAATTTGAAATTCAAGAGTAAGAGATAGAGGAAAGAGATTACTTAAAATGCTTCAAAGTTGAGAAATTGTTGAATTCAAGAGTACAATCTTCAATTAATCTACTACAATGATTGAGTTGAGAAGTTCTAAGCTAATTAATGAGGGTTGAGAGAAACTAAGGGCCTAAGGAAAACTAAAGAGGGAAAGACCCTCCAAAATCTGAAGTCAAACGTCCTATTTATATGCCCAAAAAATTACATCGTAAAATCCGTCAAAATTGGGCTTCAGAACAGGAGGAGCGCCCGCTCCAGTAAGTAGGAGCGCCCGCTCCTCTGTGTGGAGCGCCCGCTCCTGGGCTCTTTGCACGCCCGCTCCTATATGTGCAGGGGGAGGCAGAATGTGGCAGTTAAGGTAGGAGCGCCCGCTCCTTCTTAGGTGCACGCACGCTCCTACTTTCCTTTGCTTCCAAAGAGTATTTCTTCATGCTTATGCTATTTAACCCATTTTTCATTATACCTACAAGCACGAGCACACACATAAAGAGAAACGGGGAAGCCAAAAGATGCAAATTAGCACAAGAGGAGTTAGAAAAAGGGATTAAAGTAGGGGAAAGAGTACAAAATTGTGTTTAGAAAGCCATGATAAGTGGACAAATAAAACACTTATCAACGCAGTTCCTTACAATTTTTCCTATTTTTATATAAATTTTTAAAACTAGTTTTTATGATTGAATTAGAACCAAGTTATAGGATATTTATACAGTGGATGTTTGATTCGAAAAATGGAGACGGAGTGAAAAGGAAACAAATAAGAGAGGGAAAGGAATCATTTAGCTATTACGTACCTTTTCATTTGTTTGGTTTAAACTATAGAAAGGGTATTGGTTAACTGAGGGGTAATAAGAGTATTTAATTTGTTACCCCAAGTAAACGTTCTTGAGAGGTAACAAATGAGGAGTAACCATTACCTCAAGGTAATGGTAATTGTTATCATGCCCTCAAATCAAACACACGATAGCGGTATCGGTTTAATCGAATCCGTTTTAATCCAAAAAATACAATATCCGTTCCTGAAATTTATAATCAATTTTTATGTATGTGAAAAATATTAGAAGTATATAAGTAATAAAACTATATACAACATTTTTATCTTAAAATCTATTCAAAATTCCCGTATCATAATAATATTTATTTGTCGCCTACGTGAAGCGACACTTGGCAAAAAGTTGAAATGCCAAGTGTCGTTGTCTCGTGGCCTGACTGCGTGACCAGGTTTATTAGTTGGAAAAATTTCTCCCATTAATCTAAACTTTGTCTCGTCCGTCCAAATTAATCCATACTTTCGATTATTATTTATCACTCCCAACTTTAGGGGGTATTAATTTCTACTGCACCCAACAGGTCATCTAACCAGATGTAGCAGATTACTAAGACACGTATCAGACTATAATTGGCTAGAAAAAAACAAAAACCTACAAACCACCCATGCCCAACCCGGAAAACACCACACCCCCACCCCCCAAAACCCCTCCTCCACCCCTTCCCTTCCCCCACCATAGTTCCCCAAATCCCGAGCAAGGAGGCCACAAAATTGGCCGAAAACGGTCGAGTTAGGGTTAACACCAACCATTCAGCCCAAAATTCGGCCGTTTTGATGTGTCTATTTTATATAGTATTTTACCCCCGTCTCTTGGTCATAATTAGTAGTGATTTTGGATCTTTAGAGCCATTTTTATTACTAATTGGTGTTTTCTAGTGTTTTCATAGATTTGGTTGACTTTTGTAGGCATTTACACTTTTGAAGTATTTTCCCGAGATATTTTGGAGCAATCACGAGCACTGGAGAAACACGACCAGATTTTATAGCCCAGGCCCGGTTAGAGCCATCGAACCGGTGATTAAGGGCTCGGTATAGGTGATATCGGGACATTTGGATCGAGTACTAAAGACCGGAAGAGAAAACCCAGATTGGCCCGAAGAATTGGAGCCAATCGTAGTCCAAATAGTGGCCCAAGAGAGCCGCCCGGCCAAAGAGGCTGGCGCCCGGAGGCGCGCCCGGCCGGGCGGGAGAAGCGAAGGTCGGCGCCCGGTAACGCGCCTGGCCGGGCGCGAGATTCAACCTAAAGAGCAAAAAGGCGCGCCTGATCGGGCGGTGCCTCGCCCGATCTGGCGCGTGTAAATATTAGGAGTTAATTTTGTCGTTTTAGTTTGTTTTAGTTGGGATTTGTACGGAGTATAAATACTCCTCCGTAATACGATTTTAGGATCTATCTCTCTCTCTCTCTCTCTACTCTTTGTTTACTCTATTAATTGTTTTCTTAGATTTTCTTTCTCTTAAACCTTTGTTCTTAATCTACTCTTAATTCCAGATTTATTTTGGTAACGATTTCTCTTCTCTTAATCCTAGTTGTTTATTTTATTCCTTTAATCATGCATGTCTTGCTTTATTGCTTTGATTAGTTTAGTTTTTATTATGTGCGAGTATTTTTCTTTCTAGGGTTTATGGGGATCCATAAATAATGTGAAGGGGTAATTTATTGTTGTCAATTGTCAATGCTAGATTAATTTCCTATTGATTGATTTAATGCTCTGTGACTAGATTAGGCCTGATCTTTTATTCATGAGTTTGACAATATTGATTCGACATTCGACAGATGAGAATTGATGTTTAGGTCTAGTTTCAATAGGCAGGTTAATTTTTAAATGGTTAGGTCGAGCTAGATTCGAAAGATGAGATTTAATACCGGTAAATTAATTGCGTGATTATAATACGTAGCGAAAGCCCTTTATAATCTGATTAATATATGCATTGATGAATGATTATTATATTCTACCCTGGAATATTATTTATTGGTGAACCTATGCCCTATATCCTTTTATATATTATTTTTCTCCTTATTCTTGATCTCCGTAGTTTAGTTTATTATTCAAATATAAATATTGGTTACCTCGTAATCTAGATTATATTAGTTAATTAGGAATAGAAAGATCTGTTTCTCTGTGGATTCGACCCTACTTCCCTATCTACATTAGTTAGAGGATTTAGGAATTACTTTTGATTTGGGGATACGACTTTAAATTACCCTGTCACGTTTTCTGCCATTTCTATGGCCGTTTTCATGGTAAAATGGGGGGTGTGTTTCTGGTGGTCGTTTTTGGGAGTTTCTGGGGGTGGTTCCGGCGTCGAGGTGGGCCAGGGGTTCCGATGTCGAGGTGGGCCAAGGGTTCTGGCGTCGAGATGGGCCAGGGGTTCTGGCGTCAAGGTGGGCCTGGGGTTTAGGCGTCGAGGTTGGGGCTGAGAGAAGCTAAGGGGAGGTGGCGGTGGTGGAAGGGAGGGTTGTTGGGTGTTTTTTTTATTATGTTTTAATTTTATTTTTTTTTCTATTTTTTTCAACCAATTACATGTTGACACGTGTGCAAAAAAAACTAATTCTCAAATGTTTACCTGATTGACCGGTTGCAAGTCATTTGGGTGCAATAAAAATTAATACCCCCTAAAGTTGGGAGTGATGAGAAATAATCCAAAGTAGGGATTAATTTGGAAGAACAAGGCAAAGTTTAGATTAATGAAAGCAAATTTTCCTTGTTAATTAGTGATAAGATGATATAATATGACATGTTATAATTTAAATTGTTTATGGGGATGACTTTGTAGTTTTCAAAAATATTTTGATAAAATAGGAAGAATTTTTTTTTTCTATCTTTCAATCTTACTATGTACTTAAGGTGTCGAAGTTTGATGACTCCACCTTGTTGTTTCCCTTGTTGTTTCGTTTATATTCCTACTTAGTTTTATATTGGATGATGGAAGTCAAAATGAATAGTCAATGTTTATTTAATATGCTAATATGTTTAGTTTATTTATCTTAGCTTATTTTATGATTCTGTCAAATTATATTCGAATATATCCTGCTAAGTATGCTAACCTATTTGTATATTCTGCTATAAGCATGTTTATGTTTTTATTATTCTTTAAGTAACTGATTTTATCTTTATGTTTCTAAGATAATATTTTCTGTCAAATGTATTTATTTATCTAGCTTATTATTTATCTTATTTGGTGGTTGAATTTTTCTGAATATGATAAGATTTCTGTTTAAGATAAATATTGCTGTTACTTGTGCTTGCTGACCAGGTTTTTAGGAAGCTAAGTATGCTGTAACAGATTTCTAGCTGGAAGATAAACGTTGAATTTAAAAGCAGCTTTGAAGTTTGAATTTGAAAGCTTCGAAATTTCTGGAGTTTGTTGAAGACCCAGAGACTGCTGGCAACGTTTTAAAGTCAGCTTCAAAGCCTTATAAATAGCATGAAGATCAGCCGGTTTCATTATCCAAGTTTTTCAAGAAGTCTTGTGCTATTCTAAGAGCTTTAATTCTATCATTGTTTACTACTTTTCATTACTTAAAAGTGAGGGAAAAATACGAGTGTTCACTTGTGCTAAACTTTGTAATACTTGAGTGATACACTTCGTAGTAAAATTATAATACTCGAAGTTGTTTGAGTGTGTTAGCTTTTATTTCTAGGATTTGAGTGTTTAAGGTGTAGTGGGAAGTACTACGGAGAGAAGATAGTAAGATCTTCTAGGTTGCTTTAGAACTCTAAGGGAAGAAATAAAAGTTGGTTAAAATCCTACGGGTTGGACAACCCTAGGCGGAGACGTAGGCCTTTGTGCTGAACTTCGTAACAATTCCTTGTGTTTATTTCTGTTTTTATTTTTGCCTTATTCTTGCTTTCGTTCTTTGTTTTAAATAGTTTTAACAAAATCCAAAACAAACGTTTATAACCTTCTGCTTACTAACTGTTTTACATTAAATAGTTTTCAAAGTCTTGATTTGTAAAACAGAGATCGGTTTATTCCGCCCTGTAACTGATCTCAAGGCCTTGACATTTTCTGTTTTGCGAAAAACGCCCATACTCTATTCAACCCCCCCCCCCCTTCTAGAGTATTAATATGTTTATTCCATTACCATTGTGATCCTTTCATTTGGTATCAGAGCAGGTATTCACGTAAAGATCTAACAATCTGTGAAGATGAATTCCATTGGTGATGGAGGCTTCGCTCAAGGTCGATCCGCAAATCGCCCTCCTCTCTTTTGTGGCAACAACTTTGCTCATTGGAGGTCATTGATGCAAATGTTCGTGATTGATCAAGACATTGAACTCTGGGAGATTATCAAGAAGGGTCCTAAAGTTCCTATGAAGACCACTGAAAGTGGAGTAGCCGTTCCTAAGAATGATGATGAGTTCAACCAAACGGATCTTGAAAGTGTCGAAAGAATTATCGTGCTATGAACTTGCTGTATTGTGGACTAGATGCTAATGAATTCAACCGTGTGTCTACATGCAAAAGTGCCAAGGAGATATGGGATAAGCTCGTAGTCACATATGAAGGAACAAGCCAAGTCAAGGAGACCAAAATCAGCATTTTCCTTCGACAATATGAACTTTTTAAAATGCTTTCAAATGAATCTATTAAAGAAATGTTTACTAGATTCACTCAAATTATTAACAATCTTGATTCTCTTGGCAGGTTTTTCTCAAATGAAGAAAAAGTGAGAAAGATCCTTCGATGTCTTCCAAAAGCAAAGTGGGGTCCTAAAGTTACAGCAATGGAAGAAGCTCAAGATCTAAGAACCCTTCCTCTTGATGATCTATTGGGAAAATTAATTACCCATGAAATGTCCTTTGATGAAGAAGATGGAGAGCCTGCCTCATCCACAAAGGGGCTAGCTCTCAAAGCCAAGAAAGAAGAAGAGATAGAGGAAGATTCCGATGAAGATGATGATGAAGACCCCTTTGCTCTTCTCTCAAGGAGTCTTACCAAAATCCTCAAAATGAAGAAGAAGTTCTCAAAAGAAAGAAATCATGGAAAATCTGATCGATACAGCAATCACCAAGAAAAGCCTAAGGGAAAGACATACAACAAACTCAATACCTTGAAATGCTATGAATGTGGTGAAGAAGATCACCTTGTACGAGATTGTCCTCAAAGAAAGAAGTCTAAGCCCTACAAAAAGGAATTCAAGAAAAAGGCTATGGTGGCATCTTGGAGCGATTCTGACTCAAGTGATTCAGACGATGATGATCAAGCCAACCTATGTCTAATGGCAAAAAAAGACACTTCTAAAGAGGAACATCTTCAGGTAATTGTAAATAATCTCATGTCTAGTCCTTCAAATATTCTTTCTGAATTCTTGCATAATATGATTATCAATGAGGAAAGCTTGATTCAAGAGTCAAAAATTTTGAAAGAAAAACTCAGTACGCAAGTTGAAACTACTGAGAATTTAATCAAAGAAGTTTCTGTTTTAAAAGAAGCTTATACAGCTCTCGAAAACAAGGTCAAAGTGTCTGAAACTCAGATCAAGGCCTTGAAAACCGAGAACAGTACTTTGAAACAAAAACTCACTTCTCTAAATTACTGTAATTATAGTCTTGAAAACGAGAAGAAAAGTCTTTTTGAAAAGTGTTCAAATCAGCAAAGTCTTTTAAATAAACTTTCAAATTCTGAAAATGATTTTAACAAAATTTTGGACAAAGCACGAGGATCCAGAGACAAAACTGGACTTGGTTTTAACAAATATCTTGACAAAAAGAAACCTACTGTTTTTGTTAAAGCCAAAGGAAGTTTTAATGGTCCTACCTATTTTTATTGTTGCAAAAAAGGTCATACCAAGCTTACCTGTCCTTTCAAAACGAAATATCCTCATATTATCAAACATTCATTTCCTTATTTTACTCGAGACCAAATTAAGCAAATCTGGGTAGTTAAGGGAACTAGACCACCAAACATGGTCTATCCCGAATATGATTCCAAATTTGCAGTTTGGTCTAGAAAGGTTTGATAATTTGTTATTTTGCAGGAGAGCTTGAAAAAGAAAGATTATAGATGGATTTTAGATAGTGGATGTTCTCGGCACATGAGTGGAAATTCTGCTTTATTCTCTAAGGTTGAAACTAATCTATGTGGAACAATAACCCTTGGAGACAAAAAGAAGTGCAATATCGTTGGCATTGGCAAAATTGGAGGCAACGAGAGTTTAGTGCGTGGCTTGCCTGAATTAAATTTCAAAGAAAAAGGGTTGTGCAAACCATGTGCTCGAGGTAAACAGGTTAAAGGTTCTTTTAAGACCAAAAAGGTTGTAAGTACCTCTAAACCCCTTGAACTTTTACATATTGATTTATGTGGTCCTATGCGTGTCAAAACCCCAAAAGGAAAACAGTATATCCTTGTGGTTGTTGATGACTATTCTCGTTTTACTTGGGTTTCATTTTTAAGAGAAAAATCAGAAGCTTTGTTGGAGTTTTCAAAAATTTGCAAAGAAGTTCAAATTGAGAAAAACCTACATGTGGTAGCTGTGAGAAGCGACCATGGTAGAGAATTTGATCAAATTAATTTTGAAAAGTTTTGTACTAAATATGGTATTTCTCACAACTTTTCAGCTCCAAGGACACCTCAACAAAATGGGGTTGTGGAACGCAAGAACCGCACCCTTGAGGATCTGTCCAGGACCATGCTTTTGGAAAATGCTTTACCAAAATATTTTTGGGCAGAAGCTGTTAACACAGCTAACTATGTTTCAAATCGTTGTTTAATTCGCCCTATTTTAAAGAAAACTCCATATGAGCTTTTCAAAGGAAGGAAACTCAATATAGCTTATCTAAAACCATTTGGATGTACTTGCTTTGCTCATAATAATGGCAAAGATAACCTTGGGAAATTTGATGCACGTAGTGATGAAGCTATTTTCTTGGGATACTCTTTTGTTTCTAAAGCATATAGAGTCTTTAACAAGCGAACTAAGCTTGTTGAAGAAAGCATACATGTTATTTTTGACGAATCCGAAAAGGATACTTTGAGTGAAAGTTTTACAGGTCTAAGGCTGAACAGATACAAGGAACCAGAAACAGATGATGAAAGTGATAAAGAAGCAGCAGAAGCTCCAGCAATGCGCCCTACCCAGAACATCCAAGAACGCGTTCAAACCATAGAAGAATTAAATCAATCCTCTGTTTCTCCTCCTCAAAGCCCTGAAAGCTTATCTCAAGACCTTGAACCTGAACCTGAATCGAGCCAAAATTCATCTCATGGTCTTGAAACAGTACTCCAAGAACCTCCTGCTACCCCCTTACTAATGCGCAGAAAATTCAAACATGCCTCATCTCATCCTCTTGATAAAATCATTTCTGACCCAAAATCTGGAATCCAAACCAGAGCAAACTTAAAGTCTCTTTGTGCCTTTCATGCCTTTGTTTCCCTTGTTGAACCGAAAAATGTCAAAGAAGCCTTACATGAACCGGATTAGATTATTGCTATGCAAAGTGAGCTAAATGAGTTCGAGAGAAACAAAGTCTGGAATTTGACTTTAAGGCCCAAAGGAAAATCAATAATTGGAACAAGATGGGTTTTCAGAAACAAGTTGGATGAAAATGGTAAAATTGCTCGAAATAAGGCAAGGTTAGTAGCTCAAGGCTACAATCAAGAAGAAGGTATTGATTATGAGGAAACTTTTGCACCAGTTGCACGTATGGAAGCAATCAGAATTTTACTTGCTTTTTCATTCTTTATGCGTATCAAACTATTTCAAATGGATGTAAAATGTGCCTTTTTAAATGGTTTTCTAAAAGATGAAGTTTATGTAGAACAACCTCTTGGTTTTGAAAATGAATCTTTTCCTGACCATGTTTACAAACTTGATAAAGCTTTATACGGTCTGAAACAAGCCCCAAGGGCTTGGTATGAACGTTTATCAAAATATCTTTTGGAAAACGGTTTTAAACGTGGTCAAGTTGACAAAACTCTGTTTGTTAAAATCAAAGCAAGTGACTTACTGATTGTGCAAATTTATGTTGATGACATTTTGTTCGGTGCTACTAATGATTCCCTTTGCAAGGAATTTTCTGATATAATGTGCAAGGAATTCGAAATGAGCTTAATGGGTGAACTCAATTTCTTTCTTGGATTGCAAATCAAACAAGATAAAGGAGGCATCTTTGTGAATCAAGGCAAATATACTAGAGAGATCCTTAAGAAATATGATATGCTACAATCCAAAGAAGCAAAAACTCCTATGAGTTCATCACTATCTTTAGACAAAGATGAGAATGGTAAATCAGTGAATCAAAAGCAATATCGAGGTATAATTGGATCTCTTCTTTATTTAACAGCAAGTCGACCTGATATTATGTTTAGTGTTTGTATGTGTGCACGTTTTCAAGCTGATCCTAAGGAATCACACTTAAGTGCTGTTAAACGTATTTTAAGGTATCTAAATGGAACTAAGGACTTTGGTCTTTGGTATCCTAAAAATAGCAACTTTGAGCATGTTGGGTATTCGGATGCTGATTTTGCAGGTTATAAAGTAGACAGGAAAAGTACTTCAGGTTGCTGCCAATTTCTTGGATCATCTCTCATAAGTTGGCACTCTAAGAAACAAAATTTCGTAGCTTTATCAACTGCAGAAGCTGAATACATTGCAGCCGGTGCTTATTGTTCACAAATATTGTGGATATCTCAACAGCTTAAAGATTTGGGCCTTAATTATACAGGAATACCTTTAAAATGTGATAATACCAGTGCTATATCAATTGCTAAGAATCCTGTGCAGCACTCTCGAACCAAACATATTGATGTTCGACATCATTTCTTAAGAGATCATGTGGAGAAAGGTGACATTTCTATCTCTTTCATTCCTACAAATTTTCAAATTGCTGACATATTTACCAAGCCTTTGAGTGAAGAAAGATTTAATTTTATACGGCTTGAGTTGGGAATACTAAATAAGGATGCAACTTCGTAGGGGGAGCCAAGGTACGTTACTTAATTTATTTAATTTCTTTAAGTATTTGTTTTTGTGTTAAGTGAAAATTACTTTAGAGCCCTGAACTATATTTCAAGGCCTTGAAGTAAAACTGCCGAAAAATAAATAAATAAATCTGGAACAATACTTGGTGATTATTCTCGTGAATTCTCATTCAATGTACTTATTTATTATTTCTTTTGAAAACGTTTTCAAAACTCGTACATTCATTTAATCTATTTGATTTTTAAGCAGTCGCACCTTTTCACCTTTTTATCTTTTTAATCTGTTTTGAAAAATCTTTTACTATCCCGTACCTATAAATACTTGCCTGCATTCACTCCTTCTCTCTCATCTGCCAAAAAGATTTCACTCTTTCTCTCCTCTGCTACCTCTGTCTTCTCCTCTTCTACACTCTTCCATTATTTTTTCCCTTTCTTCATGGCGCCCAAAAGAAAGCATGTCGCCATTAAACTTTCTCAGAAAAAGAAACAAGCCAAAGCTCAAAAGAAAGCTCCAAAGCAAGTTCCATACTCTGAACCTTCACAATCGGCATCTTCTCATTCACCAATTCGAGAAGAGGAAACCCCATCGAAAGCCATTCCTGTCAAATTTCCTGAGAAATCTCAAGCTTCGGCTTCTCAAGAACACACTTTTGAAGTTTCATCCTCTCTCCCTCCTTCATGGTTCAAGAATTTCACAACCCTTGGTAAATGGAAGGATGGGTATCACTCTCGCAAGATTTGTTCTTGTGAACCAATTGCTATGGATCTTGTCAATTCCTCATCGCTTCGATGTTTCAAGCTATTTCGTGAGTCTCCTCTTGTTCATCTTGCTTCTCTGCCTAATTTTTTCATACCCTCGTCTCACTCGTTTATTTTATCTTAATATGACTCTTGTTAATTCTAGTGAGGGGCCTTCAATTGAGACAATTGTTAAAGGAATCAAAATTAGATTAACTAATCAGATTCTGGCAGAAATTTTGGGGGTTTCTCCTGTTGTGTATGATAAGTCCTTTCCTTCTCGTCTTTCTTGTATTACTGCTGCTAGGACTCAATTTCTTTTGCCTAATACTCCTACCTCAAAGCAGCTCACTCACTCTTCTCTTGATCTTGAACCTAAGATCATTTTCCAATTTCTGACTCGAACTATTATGCCCAGATCTAATTCAAGGGAATTATTGACTGATCAATGCCTTGAAATTATGTATTTGCTGTTCAATGGATATCCTCTTGATCTACCCTCCATTATTCTCACATATATGTCTCACATCTACAACTCTACTCGTCTTGCTACCCTTCCCTATGCAAACCTTTTGCCAAAGATCTTCGAATTTTTTGATGTTCCAGTTGACACAGAGGAAGTAGATCGTCTTACTACTCCTAGTGTGGGCCTGGAACTCTTCAACAAAATCGAAATTTTCAAGGTTGGAAGGGATACATGGAAGTTCATCTCAGACCTCTCTGATGAAGACCTTGCTGCCATTCCCTCTGCCTATAAACCGAAAGCTGATATTCCTGTTCCTGCTTCAAAACTTCAAGCTCTGGAATTTGGCATGGAGGATCTTCGCCAGTCCATGTACTCCCTGTTTGCAAATGTTGAGAGGAAGCTTGATGAAATCAGTGCTCAGTTGGCTGGTTGAGCAGGGGAGTTGCAGGACTCAAGGCTTATTTCTGATTTTCAAGGCCTTGATGTTTTTTAAAAAGTTATTTTGCTTCTTTTGGTCTGTAATAACTTTGAACTTATGTTTTTTAGTTGTTTTTCAACCTTTGTTCCAGACATTTTCTCCCTTGATTGGATGTCAAAAAGGGGGAGAACATCTGTGTTTGTGTGTGTTAGTTTTTGGAAAGTTTTTGGTATATATATGATTAATGTTTTTGAATGATGGTTATTATTTATGCTCCTTATGTTATCTTACTCTAATCATACTTGTTCTCTTTATTATTTGTCACAGGTTTTGACTTCCATCAAGGGGGAGATTGATGACTCCACCTTGTTGTTTCCCTTGTTGTTTCGTTTATATTCCTACTTAGTTTTATATTGGATGATGGAAGTCAAAATGAATAGTGAATGTTTATTTAATATGCTAATATGTTTAGTTTATTTATCTTAGCTTATTTTATGATTCTATCAAATTATATTCGAATATATCCTGCTAAGTATGCTAACCTATTCGTATATTCTGCTATAAGCATGTTTATGTTTTTATTATTCTTTAAGTAACTGATTTTATCTTTATGTTTCTAAGATAATATTTTCTGTCAAATGTATTTATTTATCTAGCTTATTATTTATCTTATTTGGTTGTTGAATTTTTCTGAATATGATAAGATTTCTGTTTAAGATAAATATTGCTGTTACTTGTGCTTGCTGACCTGGTTTTTAGGAAGCTAAGTATGCTGTAACAGATTTCTAGCTGGAAGATAAACGTTAAATTTAAAAGCAGCTTTGAAGTTTGAATTTGAAAGCTTCGAAATTTCTGGAGTTTGTTGAAGACCCAGAGACTGCTGGCAACGTTTTAAAGTCAGCTTCAAAGCCTTATAAATAGCATGAAGATCAGCCGGTTTCATTATCCAAGTTTTTCAAGAAGTCTTGTGCTATTCTAAGAGCTTTAATTCTCTCATTGTTTACTACTTTTCATTACTTAAAAGTGAGGGAAAAATACGAGTGTTCACTTGTGCTAAACTTTGTAATACTTGAGTGATACGCTTCGTAGTAAAATTATAATACTCGAAGTTGTTTGAGTGTGTTAGCTTTTATTTCTAGGATTTGAGTGTTTAAGATGTAGTGGGAAGTACTACGGAGAGAAGATAGTAAGATCTTCTAGGTTGCTTTAGAACTCTAAGGGAAGAAATAAAAGTTGGTTAAAATCCTACGGGTTGGACAACCCTAGGCGGAGACGTAGGCCTTTGTGCTGAACTTCGTAACAATTCCTTGTGTTTATTTCTGTTTTTATTTTTGCCTTATTCTTGCTTTCGTTCTTTGTTTTAAACAGTTTTAACAAAATCCAAAACAAACGTTTATAACCTTCTGCTTACTAACTGTTTTACATTAAATAGTTTTCAAAGTCTTGATTTGTAAAACAGAGATCGGTTTATTCCGCCCTGTAACTGATCTCAAGGCCTTGACATTTTCTGTTTTGCGAAAAACGCCCATACTCTATTCAATCCCCCCCTTCTAGAGTATTAATATGTTTATTCCATTACCATTGTGATCCTTTCAAAGTTAATTTATTTGTATGTGGCTTTGAAGCAAGGAGGTGTGTTGAGTTGTGCTTCAAAGATGTGGGTAGTTATTACCTTAATATTAGGATGCTTTAGTTAGTGGAGTTTTGCATGGCTTAATAATAGGATATGATTGTTCTTAGTAGTGGAGACGTGAAGTAGTTTAGGAGTAGGTTAGTGGTCTTACTTTCTAGCTTTGGTTTGTTAACATTAAGCTTATATATAACTTTGTATATATCCGTAAATTTGTGTTTGGAAAATGAATTAGAATTTTAGTTGTTT